ACTATCTCATGGTTACTTTGTTAAGTGTAATGAGTGAAAATGCAATGAATGAAAATGCATGTATGAAAAGAACATTTGCCTTAAGACGGTGCTTAACTAAAAGATTTCATTTATTCCAAAGAACTTTTATTTACATTGAGTTTATCATCCTAGAGTTATAACCATAAAATTGCTTGATCTGCTCATACTGGGCCTTGGCTTCTTCGATAAAGTTTAATAGACACTGTCCATCTCTCTTACTGGGGCCACCACTTGTTTTAATACCTCTACCTCTTCTACCATCTCTCTTGCCTTACATACCCCTTTACAAATTTGGGTCGTCATGTGCTCAATGTATTTTTGTTTTCTTAAGTTCTCTCTTTTACCATACCAAACTTGGTATGATAACTCTCTATGCTCTCTAACCAATGCAACAATATGGTCTTCTTGTTCATTCAACTTTTGTCTCAACCTACTTAGATAGCTATTCAACATGTTATTCTTTATCTGTACTTGGGTACTTTCTTCTTCCAATTTAGCATATTCTTGTTTTAATCTTGTATTCTCTTCAGTCAGCTCAATAATTGTTATCTCTTGGGCCCTTTTCTCTCACATATAACCTCTTATATTCTTGGTGTAGCTCTGCTAAGTCTTCAACAGCTGTATCACATTTTCTAGCAATCTTGCAAACTCTGGCTTCATGTCTTTCAGCTCTATCCTTCCATTGATCTTTTTCTTCTCAAAGCTTTTAAATTTCTTACTTTAACTTATCCTTTACAGACTCAAACTCTTTTGTCACAAGCTCTAATTCTGATGGTGTCTCTTCAAGCTTTCCTCTTGTTGGCGATAGAAAGCTTTCATAAGTGAATACCATTTTTTGTCTTCATTTTGCTCTCCAAGGCAAATACCCTAGAGTGGCTTTATCAATAAATGGTCTAGGACTCACTCTTCGAGGGTTTTTCCATGCTTTAATCATCTCATTATCCTCTGAAATGCTTTTGGCTCGCTGTAAGAGAAATCTAACTAATGAAGCCCATGCGTCATAAAAATAAACTATTTTACCTCGAACTACCTTCTCACTAGGAGTGGTGCATAATTTATCGCTCCCCATAAACCCAAAAAGTGGGACCACTGATTATCCCTACATTAATACAACATAGGTTCACAATTCATCCACGGGACCAACCATCTTACTTCGGCACTGGTCAATTTTTGTAAGAAAGCTATCCACTCCTTTTTAAACTTTTGTTCTGACCACCCACTTTCACAGAATTCCTTGATCGGGGCTCAATTATGGACATAAAGCTTTGAAAAAGCACCTTTTCTCCATTCGAAGTGGCTTTTCATCTATAAGTATAATAATTGTATGCAGCCTATAAAGTGCCCTCCATTATGACGACAGTAACTCAAAGATCTGATAGTCTCTGTTAATATTATCGTTGAAGGGTTACAGCCATTGATCACACTCTCAAAGAAGCTAACCATCGCTATTTCAATGTAACCCAAAACTTTTGGAAAGATCACTATTTCGTATATAGCTAAGGCAAATACATCTAACCTCCATTCCTCATTGGCATGTTACAATAGAAACTCATGAAAGAACTTTTATGGTATGCAAACCTGTTCTTATTTTTTCTTTGTATGAGAATCCATAACTTCTTTGTCTATCCTTATGAGTTGAGCCAAACCCTTACGAAATCTTGACTTGTGTTATTTGATATATATCTTATTAGGAGCCTTGAGGTGCAAACCCAACAAAGTCGAATATTCTTTGATGGTTGATGTCATATCAACTTCATTGAAGATGAAACACTTATATGCAGTGTAGACACCCAATTGGGTCCGGCCCAGATCAATTGGGCCTGGCCCAATTCAATTTGTCCTGTATTATTTTGTATTTTATGTATTTTATTATTATGTATATATTTATTTATTTATTTATTTTTTATTAGATTAGATTTATATGTATATAGTTATATATTTATTATTTTTTTTTTATCTGTTCTGATTTTTCCTGATTATCAGATTTTTTTTTATAATATCTTTTGATTTATCTTTTCTAATTATCTAGTATTTTTTATTTATTTTGATTTTAATTTTGGAGGGCTAAGATTCAAGGCTGAAGAATCCCACTGTGGAGGGGAACTCAATCAGAAGAGTCCAGTGGGATTCAAAGATTGAATTCCCGTCCAAGGAGGAATTGGGATTGATCAGGAACTCCTGATCAATCCCTATAAAAGGGACTTTGGAACAGAATGATAGACAGAAAACAGTAAGCAAAGCTACTGATTTGAGAGAAAATGAGGCGTATAGGAAGTTAGAAAAAGTTTAAGAGTGTTCTGGGAGTGAGAAAAATTTTTTAGAAATTTTTGGCGAAAATTTTTTCTGGAAATTTCTGGGAAATTTCCAGATTCCGGCGAAAATTCCGGCGAAGTTTGAATTTTCCGACGAAAATTCCGGCCAACATTGAAGTTTCCGGCGACCTACCCAGTTTCCGACGAAGAATCCCAGAAACCGGCGATCTTCCGGCCAACTTCCGGCGAAATTTCCAGATTCCGGCGAAAATTTCCAGAATCCGGCACCGGTGTTCTTCAGTTTTTAGAGAGAAGGGAGAGAAAAAGGAAGAAGAGAGAGAGAGGGGGAGGAGCGTTCTGCCGAAAAACGGAGGAAGGTGCCTTTTATACCCTCCCAAAACGACGTCGTTTTGGCCTTAAGTAACCCAGAGGATCCGCGCGTTTTGCCGAACCCGACCCGACCCGGGCGTCGACCCGCTTTCTGACCCGCGCGTGCCAGCCCACTCCGAGCCGAACCGAGCCGACCCAAGCCGCCAAGCCGCTCCCCCGAGCCGTTTTCTCTTCCTTGAGCCGAGCCGAGCCGAGCCGCGATCCGAGCCGCTCCAGGTTTTTTTTTTTTTTTTTTATTTCTTTGTTTATTTGTTTATTTTATTTTTTTATTTTTTATTTATTAGATTAGGTTTATGTAATATTCTTTTTATTTATGTTTTATTATTTTATTTTCTTTAAATAAAAATAAAAAAATTTCAAAAAAAAATATTTTTAGGGAAAAGTTGAAAGTATCAATTTTCCTTAAGAATAAATTTCCAAAAAATATTTTTAGGGAAAAATTGAAAGTATCAATTTTCCTTAGAAATAAATTTTCAAAAAAAATATTTTTAGGGAAAAGTTGAAAGTATCAATTTTCCTTAGAAATAAATTTTCAAAAAAAAAAGGGGGGTTTTTGAGGAAAAGTTGAAAGTATCAATTTTCCTTGAAAATCGAAATTTTCAAAAAATATTTTTAGGGAAAAGTTGAAAGTATCAATTTTCCCTACAAAAAAAAATCATTCTTTCATTCCTTTCTATCTTAATTTTGATTTTGTTTTTTTTTTCTTTTCTCTTTCTTTAAATAATCCGACGACGGAGCCTCTGTAAGTGAAACAGTAGTTTTTCTTGCATACTCTTGAGGTGAGGGAATTTTCTCAATTTTCTGCTAAAAGTATTAGAGTCAATTGAGAATAATTTTCAACAACTAACTACTTGGTAAAATTTTAAGGCTTTTGGATAACACAAATTCAAGCTGGTACCATCTTTTGATGGGCGTTGTGAGGGTGCTATAACCTTCCTCACACGTAACCGAACTCCCGAACCCTGTTCTGGTCAGCAGACCTGAACCTATTCTTCTAGGGACCCTTAAACTTAGGTGTTCCCTGGAAGGACAGATTCCTTAGGTGGCCAATCGCACCTAGACAAAAAAGATTGGTGGCGACTCCCTAAAGTCAATGTCTAGCGATAGATCCCCGGATCTAGACGTTACGACAGCTTGGCGACTCCACTGGGGACTTTGAGAGTCAGGCCAGCAAATAATTTGTGTTATCCAAAAGCCTAATAAAATTGAACCATTTTTGTATATATGTGTTATTATTCATTCTTGTTTATTTACCTTGTTAATTATGTCATTCATGTGCATGTGCATAACATGAGCTCTATACCTTGTTAATTATGTCATTCATGGGGGCATATACCCGTTCCCCACGAAACGGGCATGCGGGCACTCAGCCGGCTGGAGAGGCAGAATGCGTAAGCCGAGGATTAGCTCGGTCCCCCTGCATGCTGTAGATCCTGTTATCGCAACCATCAGTCCGGTCTGATCTTAGACTGGGAATGAACTCCGTATACTTAGACTAGGGATGAACTCCATATGCCTAAGTCAACCCACAAAAGGAGTGTGTAGGCGCTCAGCTGATCGGAGAGGCCGATCTTAAAGGCATAATGCACAAGCTGGGGATCAGCCCAGTCCCCCTCTGCGTGCTATCGATCCCGCTACCGGTCCTGCTACTACAACCCTCGGTCCAGTTGGGGCTTAGACATGGAATGAACTCTGTATGCCTAAGCCAACCCACAAAACAAGCGTGCGGGCGCTCAGCCGATCGAAGAGGTAGAATGCGCAAGCCGGGGATCGGCCCGATCTCCTCCTGCGTGCTATCGATCCTACTGCTGGTCCTGCTGCCACAACCCTCGGTTTGATTCACGGGGCAATGTATCATATAATGTAATATTAAAATTAGTTTTTTTATAAGATGACATTGAATGATTTTTAAACAATTTATAATTTTTATACATTGATTGTGTATCAACTATAAATTCATTTGGTAAAAGGGAAAGGATTGATTGCTGCGCTCCTAAAAGTACCCTGGACTGAGTCAGTTTTTTTGTGTTCAACCCACTCCACTCTACGATATATTATTTGTTTCGTTGGACATTCTCTTCCTAATTCGTTAATTCACTCCTCTGTTCATGCAACGAAGGTATGAACCATTAAGCAAGCTAGTATACGATAAATTCTAAATAGTTATAAATATAATCACAAAACAATTTTTTCTTTAAAATTTGCCATGGGAAGTTCCACGAAACTAACCAACTCCAACAATATTAGAGTTCACTTTACTTTAAAAGTTACAGTAAAGATTATCTCATTGCAATGAATTGTCATGGAGTTCAAATTTGATTTTTTTCATCATTGCAGTCAGGAGGCCCGGACTATGACGTGCCATTGGGAAGGCGCGATGGACGGACTTTTGCCACTAGGAATGTAACATTGCAGAACTTGCCACCACCCTTCGCCAATGCCAGTACCATCCTTGCTAGTCTAGCTACCAAAAATTTTGACCCGACGGATGTTGTAGCTCTCTCCGGTGGCCACACCATTGGCATCAGCCATTGCACCTCTTTCACCGGCCGGCTTTACCCTACTCAAGACCCCAGCATGGACAAAACCTTTGCCAATAACCTCAAGGGAATTTGTCCTACTGCAAATTCCACAAACACTACAGTATTAGATATAAGGAGCCCTGACAAATTCGATAATAAATATTATGTTGATCTCATGAACCGCCAGGGTCTGTTCACCTCAGACCAAGACTTGTACACTGACAGCAGGACAAAGGGCATTGTTACTAGCTTTGCTGTTAACGAGACTCTCTTCTTTGAGAAGTTTGTGCTGTCGATGACAAAGATGGGGCAATTGAGTGTCTTGACTGGCAAGAAAGGGGAAATTCGTGCCAATTGCTCCGTGAGGAATTCGGATAACAAGTCGTACTTGGCCTCTGTGGTGGAAGAGGAGCTGGAGGAGGAACCTTGGTCTGAGTTTTAAGGACTTAAGTTATTCAAGCCTGAAAATGTTATGTTTTTGTATCGAATCTTTTTCTTTATGGTTTTTCTTGGCGTGCTTTCTAAAGGTGGTATTAAGTACTGATAACTCTGTTAATAAGAAGTATCTAACTTCGTTTCCAAGTTAATATCAGCTTTTCCTCGGTCTCTTTTAATTCTTCCAACGCCTGTTTTCTAGGCTAGATAAAGCAGATTCATTGCAGTTAATTTTAAAACAATCTAAAGGAGGAGGTTCCAATTTAATGCTGGTAGTGGATATGGATCCTTGCTCATAATACACTAGAATTCAACACTCTTCCTTTTAATAGTGGCAAAAATGCATTCTCCTATGCCCACAACCTTACCAAACAATTATTATTCCCACGAAGCCAGATACCCCAAAGAACAAAAGGAAAGATAACTTTCCAAGGAATATTCCAGCTAGGAAAAGCTCACTAGAACAACAATTGGTTTGCATTTACAAGTTTAAATCATGGTTAAAAGAAGAAAGAAGTCTTTGTGGGACTCCTATCCTTGTCCAAATTTCAGTGGCAAGAGGACATTCCCTCTCAAAATATGGAGAGCATTTTCAATAGAGTTGCAACATTCTCAAGCAAGTGTTGTTATCAATAATGTTTCTGCTACACAACAGCTCCATGGAAGGTATTTTCTGATGATTCAATAGCCATAGGAAGTGCTGGATTTTTGGCCAAGTTTTGACTTTCCAAATCCAATTCTAGCTTCTTTTCCCTGATAATGTTGATTGGTAATTAGACCCAAGGCAGAATTGGAGGAAAACACACCTCTGGGCTCTGACCACCATTCCATGCAAAAAGATCATGCCCATGCTAATGGTGAGACAGAGGGATAGCAGATATAATCTGCAAATGATTCTCAGGGACTTGGTAGCAAAACCTAGACAAATCCCAGCACCCATTACTATCAATGCAATTTTTAACAGTAAGGGCAAAATCAAAAGGAAGCCAAGGGCCATACAAAAAAAACCTTAAAAGGGCCAAGTCCTGTCCAATTATCAGTAAAAAAATGGACTTGCTCACCATTACTCAGAATCCATCTAACTCCTTTTTGTAAAAAAGCTGAAGCTTTATCGGATAATATTTAGAGGCAGAAACTTTAAACATTTTCTGGTTTAAAGAAGGCTTTTGACCTTGCTAAAGAATTTGGACCCAAGCCTTATTGGTCTCATGTTTATTATTTCATCATGGCCACCAGCTTGGCTTCTCTAGAGCATCTAATCACAAGGTCTTATGATTCTTTTCTACATCAAGTGTTATATTCATATTCTTTTCTAGGAAGCTGCTGGATCTGTATGTAAACTGCGTGACAAGGGAGTGGAAACTGTAAAGTAAAATTAATTCTGGAAATTAAATAAATAAATAAAGAATTAAAAAAAATATAACAATAGCCAATTAGCCATCCTAGCTATAAGCTATAACAAATTCATCAATTATGACAATAAATAAATGAATCGGCAATCTTAAGCTTCATTTGGATGAGCGATGAGATTAGTTATTGTAATAGTAAAAACAATAATAAAATTTATTGTAACTACGATTAAAAAAAAAGTTATTGTAATTGTGATTGAAAAAAAAATTAATGAAAAATTTATATTAACTTGATCTCACTGTAATTAGCGTTTGGATTTAATTAAAGGTGCAGCGAGATCCAAATGGCTACTTAATATGCAAAGGGAAAAGAAAAAAAAAAAGGAAATGAATTTAAACATGAAAGGAGATAAAGAATGCGTAATTGTTAATATCAAACATTTGAAAGCAAAACTTTATTTTTCATTGCAGTTCTTAAACTAGAAAATTTTCAGCTCACTATTTTTAAATGCAATGACAATTTTTTTTTTTTTTAAGTTTTGTTTGGTAAGGAGGAAGATAAAAAAAATTTGTAATTTAATGTAATAGTTGGAATTTTGGATTTATGATCACATTTGTTATTTTGTAACTCAACATTTGGATTAAAACTTTTTTTTATTCCTTACCTTCCCACTAAATATACAACCGATTGAGGGATAGTGCTGCATTTTTGTTTTTGCATTTTAAATAATTTATCCACTTTGCACCTGCACATCAGTTCATTGAGGCTTCTAGTATGTAAATGTTATTTTAGATTAAACTATTGCTTTGACAAAAAAATTTTTTTGGAGGAATTTGGAATTGGTATTCTGCTAGCTAGTAAAATAATAAGCTAAGCTCATGGAAGAGGTGAAAATGAGGCTGAAATGTTTCCAGGAGGCGAGATGTGAGAGAAGCTAATGAAGCGGCTCATAATTTGGCCAAATATGCACTACTAGTCAATAGGGGGGAAATTCACTGGGTTGAGGAGTGTCCAGATTTTATTGAAACCATAGTTGAAAATAACTGTAATCCTGTTTATGCAATATTAAGAGTTAAGTTTACCAAGATTTCAAATAAAAACAATATAGTAATAATTTCTTTCCTAAGTGTGGACCCTGACCATGTAATCTAAAATCTAAAAATTAATTCTCTTTAAACTAAACTGTCCATTTGAATCTTCTAAGATTCTCGCTGGCATTCGACTTAGTAAGAATTGGAGCCTCATTTCCCATCTTTTATTGGCGGATGACTCTTTAATTTTCATTGCTGCTAACAAGAATAATTGCAGGAACATGTTGTGCTTCAGGACAATTAAATCTGAATAAGTCTAGTATTGTGTTTAGTAGTAATGTTCCAGATTATATAAAGAAGGAATTGGAGGGGTTTCATGTACCAATGGCGGCAAATCCTGCAACATATCTTGAAATTCCTTCATTTTTTTTTTTTTTTGGGGGGGGGGGGGGAGGAGTGGGGGAACCAAATATGCTGCTATGAATTATGTAAGGGAAAGAATACAAGGAAAGTTGCAAACTTGAGAAAAAAAAAGGTTTGCTGTCACATGGAGGAAAGGAGATATTGATTTGTGAATAAGTTAACGGGGATATGGCAAGGTTCTGATGGGGTCAAAAGCATGATGAAAGGAAAATACATTGGTTAAGCTGTCAGCATCTTACTTCAAGTAAGGATCAGGGTAGTATGTGGTTTATCAATTTGTTTTAATAGAGCACTGTTGGCAAGCCAGTGTTGGAGAATTCTTATAAATCCTGATACTTATTGGGTACAAGTTCTGAAGGTTGTGTATTTTCCTAAATGTTCAATTGCAGAAGCTAAAAAGGTGCTAGAAAGGTGCTGGAGCTTCTTGGGCATGGGCTAGTATTCTAGGGGGGAGGGATATATGGAAAGACCGATGCGTACCAGGATTTGGTGAACTGGTCCCAAATGCTAATGTTGAAATTGAGCAACTCCCACAGTTGGTTTCAGAGTTAATTGATAAAGAAAGAGGTTGTTGGCAGTTGGAAACCTTGCAAAATGTGGTGTTTGATGATGTTATTATGAGTATTAAGTCTATTCCTATTTGCCAAGGAGGGGAAGATACGATTGTTTGGCCTAAAACTGGTAATGGATTATGCTCTGTTAGGAGTTGTTATCATTCTATTAAAGAAAGAGAGGCAAGAAAAAAGTATACATGGGACATCAACATCTCACCGGATTGATGAAGTTGTCTGGAGGTTGATATGGAAACTGAAGATTCCTCATAAGATTAGGAGTTTATGTGAAGAGTTTGTTCCAATGAAATTACTACAAGGAAAATTTTCTGAAAAAGAAGGGTATGTGATGGACCCGTTTGTTGTTTATGTGGCATAGAGGAGAGGAAGAGTGTTGTTTCAATGTGAGTGGAAAGTTAGGCCTATGGTAAAATGAAATTCTGGCAGGGATCAGGCAATTTGAGGACGTAAAGTTGAGTTGTTTTGATAGAAAAGATAATAAAGCTGCTGATTGGATTGCAGTCCAATTTAGAGGGAAAACGAGTTTATCCAATTGTGTCAATAAATCTCCATCTTCTTTGACATATTCTGTTTTGTTTGTACTGTCTACTAATACATTCTCTTTGATTGGCAAAAAAAAAATTGTAAAACAGTTTGGTTTACTTTTAATGGAAGAACCAAATTAAACTGATTTTTTCCAATAATACTGGTTGAGAAAAAATTTTCTGACAAAATTATTTATCTTTTTGTGTAAAATAGGAAGAAATCCATAATTACTGATCGCCAGTAATTAAGCAAAAGTATATATATAAGATTAGAAGTTGGGATTATTGGGAATCACCAATTATGTAATATAATTTGCATTAGAACATCAAGATTTAGACAATATGTTTTGCTTTTCTTTTATCTTACATTTGGTACTTGTTAATTTTTTTTCTCATTAACCTTCTTTAATTAACATTATAAGAATTCACAAAATACTTTCTCAATTTGGTAAGTAACGAATATATTAATCGTTTTGGATTTTTCTATATTGGATCAGATTCACATAGTACATTTTTTTTTTTCTCTTTGGTTGAACTATAATTATATTATAGAAATTTTTTACTTTTTGGGCCAATGGTTAAAAAATTCTTAAAAAGAAATATATGGTGAAAGTTCAAATTTCACCTTCTCCATCCGTTATTTCCTATCTAATGGATAAAAAAAAAAATTATCCAGTGGGATTGTTATTTTATACATAAACAGTGATTTTTAAAATTTTTACTTTTAAATTTATATGTTGACAGATTGTTAATTTAGATCAAAAACAAAAAAAAAATGTGATAGATAGATCAAGTTAAGTATGAAAGAAGAATAGTTTTTAGAGAAATTATCAAATATACTTATAATCAAAATTTTAGAGTCAGCAAATGGAGTTGATTCAGAAATGCATACTCTTAAGAAGTTAAGAAATATTAAAAAATTTCTCTGTTTCTTATATTTTTATCACCAATTTTTTTGGTGATAAAGAATCGAGTACTTCTAAAAAATAAGGCATGTCTCACTCTTAGCATCCAAACAACTTGCAATTTGATGAGATGCGAGTACGTTCACCGTATGTCATTTTACAATTAAAAATTCATTACCTAAAAGTGAAAATTTTAAATTTTATTGTTAAAATTAATAAGGTAATATATATTTTTTAAAATATAATAAAAAGAAAAATGATCACATTTAGAGCTTTTAAATTTCAGTGTTAAGATTAGTATGAAGATAATATACTAAGGTATATTAAAAGATAAAAAATAATTAAAAAAAGTGAGATATGTGAAAGTTTTTTTT